CCTGTACTGATACAAAAATATATGTTAGTGTAGATATGCAGTTTATAAGTAGAAATTAAGTATAGACGAATTACCATTTNACGTCGAACTCTCAAGTATGATTTCTGACCAGAAACATGCTTTGCGATTCCTAGACCACCACGATCAGAGTTGCGGCACTGTGAAGCAGTAGTACTCCTCGCCTGAGATTCAGGAGTGTCCCAATGCTGCCACATTGAAGCCCAAAGCGTAGGTGTGATCCAAATAGGCCGTTCACCACTATTCTTAGCTTGACTAACTATGTCTCGCATCCGTTTTGTAGCAATCCTCATAAAATACTTCCTTACAAGCNGTGTAATCNCAANATCCCAGTTGTACNTCCGCTACAGAAGGAGTTTAAGTATTAGTAGCGATCTGTTTTAGGAGTATAAATGAAATATAAAAGAAGCATTACTCTAAATCATTATCGCAAAAGTTCTAAAATAGCGTTCCTGTACGTGAATCGGTGTAACCTTCCAGCTATAGTAAGGACCATCAAACTTACGCCGAAATATTCTAGAAATCACACGACTCAATTCACCATCGTCCCGAGTAAACCTTATACATTAATATGAACACATGGTTAAAAAATGTGTGTACTATGAAAAGAAAATAGAATGAACAAAACAGAATGTGTGTACTTTGAAAAGAAAATAGAATGTGTGTACCATGCCGTCTTCGCGTTGGGGACTGGATGCTCAGACAACCGAACGAGCTGTTCTCGGCCAGGACGATGCATTTGCTCATCCAACAGCTGTTCAAAGTCTTGTAACTCTGGGTTGGGTGCTTGAACCTCATCTTCTTCCCCGAAATCAAGATCATGGTCGGGAAACTGACCATGACGTCACAATGACGGCAACCCTAGCCATGGTCTTCAAGTTGAGATAATACTGAACCTTCAAAAATCTTCAACCTTTCTTTATTCTTAGCGAAGAAATAAGGAACGTCTCCAATGCGGCTCAATCCTCTCCAAGGTACTTCTCCAGCTCAACTCCACGTCTAGGCTCGTCCTTGACACTTGTGTAGCTTGGTCCAGCTCATCTCTTCAAGCCCATATGGTTTCAAGCTCAGTCCAGTCCGCTGTAGCATTTTCTGTAGTACTTTGCAACTGGTACAAAAAACTGCTTCAACAGCTACACCTTCATGTTTCAACTGCTTTACTATCAGTTTCTCAACTCTTTTGTATCAGCTCATACTGAATTTTAAAACTTATCCAACATGCACTTTCAACAAGGTCTTGGATAGATCTCGACAAGTCGTAGGCGAATTATATACATTATCGTAAATCAATTGACATGATAAAACCTACATTAAATACAATGTAATCGTTGCAATTTTTACTATGCGCGGATTCGGAGAAACACTCGAGAAATTACGTTAGGAGGTTGTCCTTCAACAAAAATTGCATGAGGAGATATATCATACTCCTTAATTAAACAAACAAACAAAACCCTACATATAAAAGGATATTGATCTTGTTAACAAGTCGAGTCTTCTGTTTTTCCTCGTATAGAACAATCTTTCAAGGCAATTATTTAGTACTGTCATACAATGTATCATGTATTATAATCATATATTAATTAATTCACTTCTAACTGTGATTATAACATTTATCATTTTTTTTACTTCTGCTTAAGTCAACTGATAATTATTGGTTTACAAGATTACCCATCTTAGATTTTAAACAAAAAAAAAGAAATATATTTTATTTATCTAAGAAATCATTGGTTTGGAAGATTAATTATAGTAATCAATTCACTTTATTCATCTTTTCAATTCTTCTGACCCCATCGCAAAAGTTTACATTTTTATTTTTATCAAACACTATCTTTTTAACGGAGGAAAAATTTCCACTAAAAATTGTGAGTTGAAAATACTATCACTTTTTTTTGCTAAAATAATTTCCTCTTTTCTCTCACACCAATCACACCCGCGTAGAAAAGGAAGAAGTGATGGAATAAAAGCACAACGTGACAAAATGAATAGCAAGAAATTGAAATAGTACATATCGATCGTATAATTCCATATATCATTAGAGAAATACACAACACAAAACTACCAATTAAATAGACCGTGATATATAAAGAAAGACATGAAACACACAAGTTTAAAAAACAACACATAACAGTAAAAATGATACACTCTAATTATAGTGAGTGTCATCTTATTTTTTGCATACTCTCTCATCCACTATATGAAAAACCTTCAACGTCTATCCTCTCATGCTCACCTAACTCTGCAACCAAACACGGTATATGGTCAATATATATAACACTCCATTATAAGATCCAAATGGAATATATTACAACCTCAAGTAAAAGTGTAGAACGAAATAAATAGAGGTAGAGAAGATTACCGGTTACAGTTGGTTCTAGCGCTGATAGGGTAAGCAATCCTAACACGGCAAGCACCAGGGAGACGAGCAGCGCGGCCTGGGTTAAGTCTAGAACCCAAGACTCTAGCTGTTCCCTGGATGCAACGGCATGCTTGTTGGCGGTCACGCGTGGTCCGAGCCATGTAGTTGAGCCTCCGAACGCCTAAACAACATCCTCGAGGAATGGCACCCCCTCGAAGCAGGTAGCCAACGCATTGACCCAAGTTGCTGGTGACCGCGCGGCAGGAGATTGCTGCCTCGGAAGCCATTGGAGCGNCNACTAACATGCACACAATCACCAGTGTTGATAACTTTGAGAGTCCCTCCATTTTTTCTGCTTTCTAAATTTTGTTTACTAAATTAAGTAATACTGAATATTGGATGATGAAGAATGCTAATGGAGTTTGGGGTTATATAGAAAAAGAGCTAAGAACACGAATGCATGAGAATGGAAGGTGTGGGGTTAGTTGGTGGTTGGTTTCATTTAATGCATTGCATTATGGTTAAATATTGCTAACATGTTTCAATCATTTATTTCATTTCGGTTTAAATGTTGTGAATTTTTAAGATTTTGAATAATACTATTATTATCTAAAGTATTATCAAAATACCATTTATATGATTATCAATTTTGTTTGTATTAATCAAAACGCGAAAGTTTTGATCCTATAAAGTCTAAAGAAACATATAAAAATCATAAAGGAAAAAAAACAAAATTACACGAAATTTTCAATAATTTTTTGTATTTAGATAAAATATTTTAAGAAATCATAAAGTAAAGAAAAAAATTTCTATGATTTAAAACAATAACAGATGGGGACTAGGTACATGCATGGTCATGGTGCAGATATATGCATGGTCATGGTGCCAATAATAACACGTTATTTAAAAAAAAAAAAGCAAACCAAAAATCGTTGATCAATAAAATATGAAAAAAATATTGAGAAATTTAAAAAAATGCCACTTTTCAAATGCCACTTTACAAAAATGCCACATTTTTAAAATCTTTACAAATATGCCATTTTTTAAAATTATTTTTTCTTTATATTATTTATGTTTGGGTTAATTATGTTCTATTAGAGTTTAGTTTTGAGTGTTTAGGGGGTTTTAGGTGTCAAAACATTT